TATTGATATCATATATGATTATATATATATATTACAATGTAAAAATGGTTCCAACAAAGTCGACGCGGACCTTATGACCTTTTATTTATAATACCGTTTTGACTTGAATTATTATTCGTGATAATACCCAGGTATTTTGTAAAATAAGTCGTGAAACTTTACGTTAGGTCATGTAATTAGGTTCAGTTCACGTAAAAGAAAGAGATATCCTATTGATGTTGTTTTCACGTAAGTCTTCGTTTCGGTTCCACGAAATTTGGACGTTTTGTAGATTCCGGTCATCCCGGATGTTGTTTTTATCACTTTATTCTGATTGTCGGTCCGGAAGTTGTTGTTGTTTACGTGGGATATGCCACGGTACGTATGTTCACGTTTTGCACCTATTTAGGTGTACTTACTTGTAAAATGTTACTTTAATGTTAAGTTAAAGGTTCTTGCACATTTATTCCGACAGAACCAGGAGTATTCGGTTTCTCATTTTGTAACAATATTTCTATGTATTTCAACTTTGACCTATGTTTTTAGGGTTAGTTAAATGTTAATTTAATGTTCAAGTTCTTTAGACGTTATTCCACCCAGGAACAGGAGTACTCGTTACATTTGTTGCACTAGTAATCTATGGCTTTCATGTTATATACTTGTGACACGACGCGTAAAGGGGGACTTACTATTGACTCTACCCCTTAAATATTGAGTGTTACTTGTTAACAAGTCCTTTCACCCATATCTCATTGTACATCTTGATCTACTCGAATACTATTCGGTCGGAACGATGATAATTCTTTTCACCCTCCAAGAAAAATTACTTGTCATCAAAGGACGACGAAATAGTCGGTATTCAGACAAGGAGAAAGAGTGCCGTGTCCTCTCGTCGCGACTTTGTCGAGAGAGCGACAGTCACGAAACGATAACTAGAATGAGGCGTATAAACAGGCCCACAAACACTAAAGTTTCACCACTCATAGTGGCTTCGACCACTTTCAGAAACGTCAATGTGGGGGAGCTCTTTAGAGTCGGACTTGTGCAAAATGTTAGCGTTAGGCGCGGAGAAGAAGACTTATAAAAATTATATAGAGGTTCGCCGTTCTGTCCACCGCACTCGGTCGGCGCTCGTACCAGCCACGCGCACGAACAGCGGCCTCAAAACTAATGCAGTAGTGTTGTTGTGCAATCGAATGTTGCATTGGGACAAGAGACTGTAAGCCACTATAAAAAAGCCACGATCCTTGGGAAAGCCGCTTTCGTGCTTTCCCGGAAAATTGGTAAAAGTAAGCGGCTATTAAAAGCCGCCGCTTTATAAGCCACGTCAGGGATTCAGAATTCCGATAGAAGTTTCACCTCTACCGCAGACGGAGTTTTCTGCAGGAGGAGACACAAAGCATAACGGTTTACGATTGCTTTTTTTAAATCAAAACCTCTACAAAAGACTTTATACAAAATTACAGAACATATATAAGGTACAACGTACAACCTCTCGACCTTGAATTCCAAAAGTAAAGGTATAGATATGGACATGAGAGACGGATACCTCTTATTTCGGAAACTCTAATTCTACCCACATTGCAATCAAAAGATATAACAAGGGTCCGACTAGGTAGCCACCGTTTCAGGGTCGACGACCGCGATTGCACGAGGGTGCCGCGGGTTCCCGGTAGGGGTGGTGGCCTCGCCCCAAGGTGCCTCACCCAGGACTGGCGACGTCAGTGGTGGCTGGTCCTTTGTCTACTGTGTGTGTGTACATTTGTGGGCCAGTGTGTGGCCGAGTGTGTGAAAGTCGAATGAAATCGAGATGACAGTACACGCCAAAAGGAGGAGTCCTACTCGCGTCTGCCCTCCGCCCGGGTACCACGACCGTATATATATATATATATATATTTCTATTAATCATTTTCGGCCTTTCGGCATTCGGTTTTCGGCCAACTGTTTCCTATTTTCGGTATCGGTTTCGGCCAAGAATTTCCCATTCGGTGCACCCCTACTTAAGACTTTCCTTTTTGATAAAGCGTATAGTTAGGGTTGGCTCAGGCATACTATGAGCCAGCCCCTAGTTATGCTGCTGTAGACTTAGATTGTCAGGGGACTTTTGACTGTCCCCTCTCTTCTCCTACTTTGTTTGGACACATGTCCCATAGAGGCATCTTACCAACTCAGTAACCAGGTGTAGCATGCTGTGCACACTGTGGAGGGCTCTGAGAAAAATGTGTATTTGTGATACTGGGCTCTATAAATAAAGTGTGATTGATTGGAATGATAAAAGATAAAAAGTTGCTTAGTTCAAGTTTCATTAGCTAAAGAAAACGGTGGTACCGATGAGCAGGATGTTGATGTCTCCTCTGATGCGTGAGCCGTTCTCCAGAACCTTCTCCACGCCGCCCAGCAGCATGCAGAGGATGGCCTTCTTTATGTACTCGTGGCCGTGGATACTGGGAGCCAGGGAGCGAGACAGCTGATCAAACACATCCTAATAAAACAGAAAAGGGAGATTTAGTTTGTTATTTAACCCACTCAACCACACCGGCTTATTTTCATTACCCAATCTATCATAGGCAATCGGATCGTGAAGTTTATCATATTTCCAACAGAATTAACAAATCAAACAAAAAAAGTATGTCTAACAATTTAATCAGAAAGCGTGATCAAATTGAATGTTTAGGATGAGGATTTTTTATCAATACCACTTTACTCTACACTCACATTTAAAATGTCTGCAAAAATTAACTGCTTTACAAATCAGATAATTTGTAAAAAAAAACATGTAATACTCCACTGGGAAACCATTTATGACTAATGAAACTAACAGGCATGTAATACAAAAATCAGTAAAATGTTTAATTAACTGCAGGCTGGGTACAGAGAGCCAATAGGAGAAGTGAGTCTTAAAAATGCAAATAAGTCAATAAGTATGTGTAGCAGAGGTGGCGCTAGACTTTTTCGCTGCCCGTCCATTATTACCCGTCGGGCTGTACAACTCTGACGGGGGGCGCACGCTCGTGGACTGTTAGCGCCGTGATGCATGCCAACTGTACCTCGCGGGAGCGCTCACAACGTAAAGCCAAAACTCAGACATTTCAATGATTTGGCGCTGCTCCGAGTTTGTTCTAATCTTTCAAATTGACAGACTGCTTTCAGGTTTTTTCGTCACTGTAAAAAAAAAATTATTCGGGACGGAAAATATTCGGTTAACGCGACCACTGATGTGTAGCCACCTCTTCCAATGTTGGAAACTGCCTACAGCCACACTTGCAGGTTAGAAGTTGCATCAGTAGATTGCATTTATTTTCTCTTTTTATTTATTTATTAATATTTAGGAGATTCAACTGTGTTTTCTTTGTATAATGTAAGGCTTTAAAACTGTGTTATAGCGCACACAATTATCGTTTCTTTTTTTTGTTCTTGTTCCATTTAACTTTCTTATAAGCAGAACCGGAAAGATTGTAGCCTCACCATTTTTCCAGCCCGGCTGAAGTTCCTGATCTTGGCGACATCCCCCGCAGAGAAGTTGGGGGACACTTCCTTGCTCATCTGTTTGACGTGGCAGGCTATCATGATGGTCCTGAGCAGAAAAAAAGTGGGAAATTAATACAAAGATCACAAAAGTGTACTCTTCACCAGTTGCTACCACTTCATCAGTTGTTACCTGAATGTGCCGGAGGTGAATCCCCCCTTCTTGCCCGGCAGGCAGCGGTACGTCCCCACCACCTGAACTCTGTCTCCAGGTTTGACCAAGTCCACCAGGTCGTTGTCCAGGATGATGTCCACGGAGCGTGGCAGCTGGCCGGCGGGGGCTTTCTCTGGCATCTCCTGCACTGTGATGGTCTGGTGGTCTTTGTAGACAGAGAGACCGAACTCTGTCTCCAGAGGGTTGTTCTCCTCATCCTGTGGAGAGACCGAGATATTAAAGAGAAGTGTGAAGAAGCACACATAAAAAAGCTTGACCTAAGGGTTGAGAACATTACTTACAGTAAAAAGTATGCTTACCTTGGTGGGGTAGATGGCGCTGGAAGGGAAGGCGTCCAGCGAGGTCATGTCTGTGTACTTCCTCTCCATCGTCTTCTTGGTTGCCGGGCAGTAGTGGACGCTGCGCACTACTTTAGGACGCACCAGAGAACCTGAAGGAGAAATGAATGGTGTATTAATGTAAATGCTTTTAATACTGGCTTTAAAGTAAGACTTGGCAATATGACCATTAGAGCCATAATTAACTCAAAGACAATGTTCAGATTAATACATGGAAGATCAATTCTGAGAAAATTATTAATGCAGTGACTTATTGAGGGAAGTCCGTCTGCAATACCAAAGGAAGCCAGTTTGTAAACGCTTTTACCCTAATACTTTGTATATAGGCCTACGCATAATGCAAAACCTTTTTCCAAGAGGAAGAAGGCAACTTCGATAACATTTCTTTACTAACACGTACATTTATATTGGCGCTTTATTTATTTTGATTAATCAAAGCTCTTTCCCTGTTCTCTGTATAAAAAAACACAATATATACACATCTATACTCGGACACATCAAGTGCAAAGCTTTACAGGTTGTTAGAGCCTAAAGACGGGCATAAATAAACTCACATTTGGTGATGATGCCTTCCACACACACCATGCTGCCCAGCAGGCGGGAGGTCAGGGTTCGGGGGGTGACGTGCTTGTTACCGAAGCTGCCCTCCAGGGCGATGAAGAACTCCTCGTACTGCTTGGCGTAGGTGCCGTCCACCGAGGCCACCAGGTCCTTCAGAGCCCGCTGGAAGGCCAGCAGCTCCTCAAAGGCGTTGTTCATAAGCCTAGCAGAAACAAGAGGACGTGAGACATGCACACAACTATGGCTATAACATTGGGGAATTTATTTTGTGTCATATACAGAAAAAATAACACAGCTAAATAAATGATAGTCTCAATTAGTTTGTTCAAGATGTGTAAAAACCTCTGGTTGAATTGGGCTGGGCCTTGAACGTCTTCTAAAATATATATGCTTATAAGAAGTGTTGAAAATGTGTCTTCCTCATAGAGTATTTACACCAATAGATAATTGTGATGAATGATCATGGCTTTAATATTGATCAGAATAAGGGTGATAATCATTTTCTACTTAAACGTGCAAGATAAGGTGTATTTGGTGAATACACAGGTACTTTTACAAGTTAAAAGATAAGTGTACATTATAAAATCTAGGATTTAAATTAAATCAATGTCATGCAACTAGCTCACCACCTCACCCCACACACATCCCAATGTAACCCCAGGTAAGGACATCTACAGGATGCTACACAACACCATTTCCTTCATGCGTTTGATATCACTAAAGCAATGTTTGTAAGTCAACTTTTGCAGAGAATACAAGTCAAATGAGACAAAGTAAGACTGTTTCAGGCTTTAATGTGTAAACCTAGCACAAACAGTATAATATTTAACGCAACAGTATAGAATATGCCACTTAAAATGTGTTTCCTAATGTTCTTAGATCAGCTGTTTTTGCTTTCCCAAACGTTTTTAGAGTGCATTATAACTCATGAAGGCTTTTGCCGTGACAGATCTATTACCATGACAAAGAGTCCTTACTTTGCAGCCCGGGCCTCGTTGCGTCTCCTCAGGTCGTTGATGTTGACGATGAGTCGAGCTTTATTCTCGCTGATCATGTCCCGGACTTTGCTTTGGTAAACCCCCTGGTCTTGCTGCAGAGAACGGACAAAAATAACGGTGTTTTTTTCATTGTGATTCCAAAACGGCTTGCCAATGATTTCTCTATAAGAAAAGTTATGCAGCGAACTCAAATTACAAACAGAACATAATAGGATTAAGAACATAGCGTTTGCTAACTGATGTCATATTTCTTGCTAACTAAATAAATGATGGGCATTTCTTTTGTTTCGACCGCATGGTTTCTCTCTTCATCCCATAACAAAGTTTTAAACATGATAACATATGGACTTACATCGTCGTCCAGGAAGTCCAGGTAATCCCTCTGAGCCTCTCTCATCTCCCGGTCGTCTACGACGTCGGTTGACATTTTTAACAATTATTTATATTACTTCAAAATCTTGTAATTCTGCACGGAGGTCGGTACGATGTGTACTGTGCTGCCCTCAAACTACACACTGAAAGGTTTTCGCGCCACTGCGGGTAGAGCGTCAACCGCGATTGGCCACCTTGGCACGTACGTTTTACATAGTCCGCGGGTAAATGTGAAGCTGTCCAATAGAATGTGTCGTGACACAACGTGACCCCGCCCCCTGCAATAACTCGCGCGAAAATTAAGCAGGAAGGGAAGGGGCGGGCTGATCGAAAGTAAAAACCATTATTGTTCGGCAGATGGCGACAACAACGGATTTTTATGATCTTTGAAAATAAAATGTAATGAAAAATATAAAGAATTGAAAAATATTACAACACATAAGTCAATAAGCAACAGCAATATAAGGAAAAAAGAGCGAATATAACTTTAAAAGCTTGAAAATATGCATCTGTCAGATACATTTGCATCTGTCACAGTCTAGACACTTTTTACATACTTATAGATGATCAATCTTACAATTTAAGATCTATGATTAATAATATAATATTACAATATTTTCCCAATTTAAAATGTAGCCTATAGTTTATAACAACAATATTTACAGGATTCCTCTGGTATATCTATTGTTAAAACGTTTGTCAAGTAAAGAGAGATCATATTTATTTATATGTATTTATCCTACAACAGCTTAGTGTTGAACATGAATGCAGTGTATTTTACCAGACAGTAGATGGAGACAAATGCAAAAACAATTCTTATTTTATTATAGTATCATTGTAAATATGGTTTTTCCATTAAGTCTATGGGTTTTACCTAAATGTCCTCTCTTCAGGACTTTTGGCACAACTAATTAGGTATACTGCATATATGATTATGCTATAAAGAGTTTGAATCAATGCAAACATTAACAACTCCTCCAATTTCATGTTATGAATGAATTATAATTAAATAAAGGTAAACTTAAACGTCACGTTAAAAATAATTAATCCCTATTATGAGAATATAGTGTGATTTACCCATATTGATAATAACCACTTTACTCTCTTGTCCTAATCCCGCCCTCGCTTTAATCTCCAGGCTGTCAGGGTAGATTTGCTTTCTCCTCCCTGCAGCCTCCGGAAATCTCACAACTCCAACGTGTTGAGTTATTTGCAATTATCGGAGGTAACCAAGCAGTATAGTTAGGCTTGTTTTTTTCTTCAGAGACCTGCGACTCCAGAGGGACAACAGGTGTGTGTCGATACAAACAGGTAAGCTGAGCTGATGTCTCTTCTTTTTCTTACTTCCATAGACTACCTTGCACTGTATTCACTTTGTCATGCATTATGGCAAATCAAAGGTTTATTTGATCAACTTTGCCTGTGTTCACATGTCTGTGTAAAATGTGTGTTTTAAGTCTGAATTCTGCAAACAATACAGTTTGTTTGTCGCAAAATCAAGGGATAATTTAGGAAAATATCTTTTTATTCTTATGTATTATTTCTTTATGGGTTAAAATGCACTCCCATCTGTTGCACAAGATTTTAATTTACCACATGAGAAAACAGCAACTTGTTTTTCCAATATCAACTCAAAAATCCTAAGGATTAAAAAAGTTTAGGTAATCAGAATCAGAGGAATGATGAGGGGGGAAATTATCATTATCACACAGAGGAGATACAGTAGCTGTTTTCAGTTGCAGTGTAACCTCTGATTTCCTTCATACAGTGTGCATATTTAGCTTGGTAAACAATAGCTCACATTCCACTCTCCTAGTGTCATAAGAAGAGGCTAGTGTGGTTACAGGTTTGACTACATCCTGCTTTACCTACACGCAGGGGCGGATCTAGACAAATGTTCATGGGGTGGCAAGAGGGTGGCAGGATATTTTGATCACAGTCAAATCAATCAATGTTAACTTGGAAAGCCACAATATTGATATTTTAACTCAACAACATTAGGTGACATTATTTTGGCACAACAGTGAATCCTTAAATATAAATAGGTGGCAGACATAATTTAATGAATTTTAAATGAACAACAACTGAATGTGTTTGTTTCACTCTTGGACCAGGGGTACCAAATCTATGCAGACTGCTGCAATAAGTACATTAATTAACTGTCCCATCGATGTTTGTCTGAATTAATATGATAATATTAACAATCATATTATTCCTATCAGCTGTCAATCACTGTTATGATTGACATATTCATTTATTATTCAATAAACTATATTTTTTGAGGAGTTAATGATGAATTTTCCTCAAGATGCTTGCTTACCCTCCTTCAAATTTGAAAGACTATATCATATATCAAAATTCAAAAGATTCAAAGGAACAGTTCAGCGCCCCACGACTTCATTGCAAACAGTTCCAACCTTGACTTTACATCAGAAAGAACAAACATTAAAGAAGTGACTAACTCAATCAATCATCAATCAATGTTTATTTAAATAGCCCAATATCACAAATGTTATATTTGTCTCAGTGGACTTCACAGTTTATACAGAATATCAGTATGACAATACGACATCCTCTGTCCTTAGACCCTCACATCGTACAAAGAAAAACTTCCGGAGAAAACCCCCAGTTTAAAGGGGGACATGGGAGAAACCTCAGGGAGAGCATCAGAGGAGGGATCCCTCTCCCAGGACGGACAGACGTGCAATAGATGCCGTGTGTAAATCAAAAAGATAATACAAATAGTAGTCCAAATGTTTGGAAATGCATGTGTCTATAATAATAATAAGAAGAATCCACGAGGATATCCATCCAGGACTCATGATCCAGGAACACAGCAACAGGATCAGCCACGACTCAGGATCCCGGCGTAGATAGACACCAAAAAGAAATTAGGGGAAGCTGGGTTAATCGGAACATGAGAGTACACAGGTACAGACAGACAGAAGGAAGAAGTAAGGTGTCCCCCGACAATCTAAGCCTTTAGCAGCAAAACTAGGAGCTGAATCTAATCAGCCCTAACTATATAAGCTTTATCAAAAAGGAAGGTCTTAAGCGCACTCTTAAAAACGGATAGGGTGTCTGCCGCCCGAACACAAACTGGAAGCTGATTCCACAAATGTGGAGCTTGATAAGAAAAGGCTCTGGCTCCCATTGTACATTTAGAGACGAACAACCAACAACCCTGCATTATTGGAACGCAATGCCCTAGTTGAACAGTAGGGTATAATGAGTTCTTTAAGAAGTAAGATGGCGCCTGCCCATTAAGGGCTTTGTAGGCGAGAAGAAAAATGTTAAATTCTATCCTGTGTTCTAACTGCATCAGTTAGGGTTATTCGCGTTTTGATTCAATGCTGAGTGCAGCCAAACTTGACAGTCTCTTCTCTGTCATTGTAGACCGCAAATACCTGATCCCTTCCGTCTACTTGGGTCCGTATCGTATCTCGAATCATATTTGTCCACGCTTGCGCCAGGGCCGGGGGAGGGGTTACGGCCCGTCCACACAGCGGCGTGCGTTGAAGCTTCAACACTTCTGCCCATTCACTTCGAATGGGGTGACGTCACGCTTTGCCGAACTGCATCGTGGTTCCGTCGCTTCGCTTTGCTCGAGTTGCTCGCTTCAAAAGTTGAGCAATGTTCAACTTTTCAAGCTTTGGCGGAAGCGTCAGGCAATCAAATCATATGCCAGTACATGCTCTAGCCAATCAAACTATGTGCTTGTGTGTCCGGGGCGGGAGATTCATGTGATTGGTTGTTGGTCGAGTTTCAGACACGCCCACCTGCAAGCTTCAATGCACGCCGCCGTGTGGACGCTGCGTTATGTCTGAAACTCGACCAACAACCAATCACATGAATCTCCCGCCCCGGACACNATGTGCGTGTTTGTGTGTGTTGGAGGAGGGGCTTTGTAAGGAATTCTGAAGGAAGAGGCAGATTTTTTTCGGTTGTGTACTTTCAAATTCTAGCGCACTTGAGCTGGTTTCTCCATTCTTACCCTACCTTTAAATGCAAAATTTCAAATGTTTACAATCCATCACTAAATTCATGGCAAACCAATTTCAACATCATGCAATAACACTAAGACGACATTATTGCAGTGAACTGATCTTTTTAATAAGTTGTAGGCCTACATGAAACATGGGCCTACATGAGGACCTTTGTCATTCTCGGTGACAGGGAGGCAAACTGCAGTTATTGCACTTTGCGTTTTGAAATATGTGTAACTCTGTTAATATAAAACCCACACTTCTCAAACTTTGGTTACTTTTCCTAAAATTGGTATATTTATTTATTTTGGGGCGGTGGGGAATGAAGAGAAAAAATATAGTGAGCATTTTATGAGCATGGAATTTTGACCCCTCATATAAAAATAGGCCTATGCATATACTGCTATACTTTGCGCCACACGCCGCCAAGCAACACTTAGTTGTTTAGGTCCTTTGATAAGCAGGGCGGTCATATCATTAACTAGAACTAGCTCGATCTGATAGATTTGGACATAAACGCGAGTGAAGTGTAACCGGACGCAA